GGTAATTTTATTCCTTGGAGTGATGATAGATCTCCGTATCAGTTTAGTGCGCAACATGCGAACAAAAATCGTTACCATCAGACAGAATAGGGATTTTGATAAATTTTGACGTAATAAGTTGATTCGAAACTATATTCCATTTATTTCTGAAGTTAAAACAATAAATTTTTGACTTTTGTTTTTTTCAATAAACATTAACCGTCTTTTTGTTTATAAGAGTAATGATATTTTTCATTTACCAGGAGATATATATATATATATATATATGATTACTAAATAGGATTGAAACATAGTAGAGAAACAGAATTTTCTTCGTCGCAGGCATGTAATGATGTATTGGTCAAAAATATTTATTAAAATATTATATTATGTTATGGGTTCACACTCTGTATCTAAAGACCTTTTGGGTAAACCGTTTTAAAAAGTAAAAGAATATGTTTTTCTTTTTTAAATAACGTCATCAATTTTTTGTTGTGAATAAATTGACTGTTATGATACATATTCTAGATATAATATACGATGTAATAATAATAAATGCACTACGGTATTCTTAGAATTTCAGAGAAATAAGATAAGCTATTTATGAGATAATAAAATAAATCGGATTATAGGTTTTTTTTAAACTTCCTGAAGCACAAAACAACACACTACGACGTATTTTTCAATAACAAATTTTTGATAATAATGTTTTGAGATTTTATCAGCCTTCTAGAGAGGATGAATAAACACGTAGTTAGTGTAATCCGTAATCTGTATCTCTAAATCAATCACTGTCTTGGTAAAATTTTTAATAAGTGTACTACACCGAGTGTTTTACCTGTTTCACTTTAATATCTCGCAGAGAAATTTACACTAGCTTAACTTCGACTGTTTATGTATATATTTCGAAATAATTCTATTAAGCACGTACAGATAACCAGCATCAGCGGTGACAAATCAAAATATCCATTTATGTTAAAAGAAAATGAAATTTAATTGATTTTGTCTCCTCAAAACAAATGAGAAAACTAATTAATTCATTAAGGTAGCAGGTGTTTTTTCTGATCTAGTTTTCTCTGCTCATTACGTCACTAAATTACGTAGGTCATCTCTTAAAACATCCAACTTATATTGTGCGAGTTGGCTGTAATCTCGCGTTTTAAAAGTCCCTAAATTGTGCTCTGTGGTCATTTTCACAAGTTTAAGTTACGACCTACTGTACAGTTACAACATTATTAAATATAAGGAAACAGGGACCTATTTTTTCGTACTCTTGGGATTATGAAACTTCGAAAAAACATGAAAGTAGCCAGTCGCCCGATGGAGCTTAATACAATACTTCTTTAGCTTCCACTCTAATATTTGAATAATAGAAGCAGCTAAAATTTGGAATTGGAAATTATTACAAAAAATCAATACAGCTTCACCTTTGATTTTTCCGGAAATGACATTAACTTTTTTCAACAAAGGATATGGTTCATTTTTAAGTGGATTAAACAAAATACGTTTTTATTTTTTCCAAGGTATAAGACATTATTTATTCACCAAAAATTTTGTAAAATGAGAATATTGCACAGTTTATACTGGAAGTAATGTTTGGAATGTTAAATATTTCAGCGTGTTTTTTTTTTTTTTTTGGTCTAGACAATTCTCCTGTACATTTTATATTAATTGTTCGTAAAGTACCAATAAATATAGTAAAATAGTCGAAAGTCGGAATCAAAAATTTTTTGCAAATCGGAAAAACTCGATACAATTCATTTATTAAAAAAAAATGTAATAGTGTCAAGATTAATCATTACAATTCTCCAACGAAAACAAATTTCAAGCTGCATATATTTCGTACGTTTAGCAAAATATTTATGAGAAAGTCGGGATTATATGGGGTATGGATTAGTTGCGCTCGGCGGTCAAAAAATCTGCAGGTGGGTCTAATTTCACAGGAGATTTGCGAGCAAACTACCTGAGAGGCAGGGGTCAGTTGCGCGCTGCGGTCAGAAATATTTGCATATAATTTGAAGAATTAAGAAAAATAATTAATACTTTCTGAGACACAATTGTCCATGCTTAAATTTTCTACCAAGAGGTTCACTTTGTAACAAATAGTTTGTTGAGAAATTACGTTTAACGTTTTACTAAAGCAAATGTGCTGATCTTGTTTTATTCACTCGTATTAACTAAATTACAAATATATGTATCTGATACAGTGTGATCAAACATCATTAACTTTCGAGTTACACGTAATTTACGATTTTGTTTTTTCAAGTAAAATTATAGGTAGTATATTTTTTATATATTTGAATACTGTCGAATAATAATTTTTCACACATTATTATTGATATCTTTTTTTTAGTTCTTTGAAAAATATTTTTGTCTTATGTAAAATTTCAAACATCTGAAGAATTTATATAAATTGGGTAAAATCAATCACTAGTTCATTCTCGAAATGGATAAATATATCACTTTTAATGCGCACATTACAATATTTTCCATATTTATGTAGGTGAGGCGTTTTTTAAGTAATCTGTCAAATAATCGATAAGATAAATATTTTTCAACAAATATTTAATAATTTCTTTATGATAAATACGACTTGTGTGCCTAAAATTGGACTACGAATCTATAGGCCAAGGACGATATAACTTCATAAATTTAAAATGAAATTTATGTAATAGTATTGTCAGATGACGTCCATCAGTTTTTTGGATAGACATACAACAGACATTGTAGTTAGCGTGTCCCACGGATCTACACAGTATCCTAATGAAAATGTTTACCAAAGTTAGGTATTATAAAATTCAGAACACTCAAAAATACATGTGTTTTTGAATAGCAAGAAAACTTTTTGTATGACAATGGATTATGATTTTTTGAGACTACGAACCAAAAATTCCTCTAATAAAAATCCTTAACTTCTCGAGATACAATTAATGGAAAATTTGTATGAAATGTCGTGTGTGCTACTAAGTTTAAGAATAGTGAGATAATAAACTCTAACACCATAGTATACGTCTAATTTTAAAAAAGGATCTGCCAAAAAAAAAGAGAGGAACCGCAATTTGTTGAGAAGCAACATTTACAAAAGATGGTGTTGTTAATTCACACAATACTCATATTTGGAGTGATGCAGTTTAAGATCGATTTTCTATCGCGACTAACAGGTCAAACATTTTTTTTTTTTTTTAATTGCACATGGGAAAGCTCTATGGAGAATGTATCAAGAGACATGTGGTATTATCATGATGGAGCCTCCGCCCATTACGCTGCAGAAGTGGTTTAATCAAAAATTTCCTGGAAATTGGATTGGATGGAATGGACCAGTTCTGTGGCCTCCCCGATCACCCGATCTTAACTCATGTGACTTCTTTTTATGGGGTCATATGTAACAGAGGTGGACAGATGCTGACGTGATAAGGAAAACCCAACAATAATTTTGAAAATTTGCTTTAATTACACACTGCACATTTTTTGATAGGAATTGACCAACGATCTTTGGAATTAATTTTGAAACTTTTTGCGAAATGTGTGATTTTGTATTTCGCTTTCCAAGACTTTTTTTCATCAAAGCAACATAAATCACACATACATTCAACATTTATTAATGACTTGGCCCGGGGTTAACTTAATGTTTAGTTCCAACGTGGTTAAATTAAAACGAAGAAAAAAATTGAAGCTGCCGACTCCTGTTTAATATCGATGGAATCGATATGTTTTACCTTAATTGGCTCATTATACTGCCGCCAGTAAGTTGAAGGATCAACTATCAACGCCAACATTTTTCTTCTTGCACCGGCTGACTCATGAAACCGTGAAACCGCCCCTTTTCGCTGATGAGTTACAAGGCTGAATCAAGTTATGAATATTAATGGGAGATTATTAATCGACGGAAGTCGTGTGATGCGTCCGATGTTATTGTCGTCCCGGTGTCTGGAGGGTCCTCAAGGCGTGCGTGATATGGCCTCCGCCACGTAGTTCGCGTCTTGGCACGTTCCCCACATCCGGTGAGCGGATGCTGCCGCTATACCGACACAATGAAAAAATATGCATTTTTTTAATAGAAAATTAAATAATAAAACAATGATTTGTATTGTGCTATTGTTTAGCGGCCGTAGTTTATGCCGACTTTAAAATTACGTGCATTTTCACAACACAATGCGTTCGTTGTTTTAATGGCTTGTAAATCCGATCTATAACAATATTACAGCCTCATTTTACACTCGGAGTAGTGATTAAAGGTACAATTAAATAATTTCTTGCAGATCCAGGAAATACGAACTGGTAGACATTTAAAGGAACGTTTATTAATTACTTTCGGTCTGTTTTTCCGACTTCCACACTAAATTCATTGTTTTGCACCTTTGTCAAATAGTTGTTTCATGCACCAACAAAATATTTGCAATGTTGCAAATTCTTCTATTGTACCCCAGCCAGTGTTTTTTTACGGTTTTCAAAATCACAATTAAAATTAAGAGACTGTATTTCTCGAAATGCTGAATAAAAAGTTAGAACTTCAATTCCCAACAAGTTGAATGACTATTGCTTTTGGTATGCGACGATATGGCGATATTACAAATGATGTTTTACAGGAATCCCATCATTTTCTGTGCTAAATCTTGAAGCTTGTAATTTGCGGTTTACAAAAAAGCAAGCAAGGGAAAAATATCTCGAAAATTGTGTCGTGACAATCGAAATAACATAATAGTGGTATTTTATCGGAGTCGACTAATGTGTCCACTTACTGAGGACCGATGTTGGTTTTAAAAATTTTTACATTCCTGAGTCTGGAATTGCTATAAATAACTAAAACAATTAACGATCAAAGTTTTGCCATAAAAATTTTAACCTTCAAATCATTTTTTTTTCGACAGGTGTGAAATAAAACGTCCATGTGTGGATATTTTAATTAATCGATAACGAAGATATTTTGTTTTTTATTCCCATACGTAACTTACGTCTTTTTGAGAAATATCTATTTTCCGGTTTTTCCGACATTCAGGTCTCACAAAATATGAAAATGTCCATGTCTGTTAATAATTTTATTAGACATATTTCCCAAAGTAGTGGATTTGTTACTGTTATTACATTTGAAATAATATCAAAATTGAACCTCTACAACGGAGCCCTTTGACATCGTGGCCAGCTTGATGTGGGTGTTGGTCACTTCGCGCTGCGGTCAGTTTTCCAATTCCTAAAAAGATAATTGGATACTGCGTGCAAATATGGGATTATAATGGTTATTATTACCTAAAGGTACCTCGCTGATACGAAGAAGTCGACTCTGTCCTTTTACTCCTACTTTACAGTTCCATTAATTCTACAGTATATTTGGCAAGAACGAATAAATTCGTCCAGTTTACTTAGACAGAACTTTCCGCGCTTCTGAAGTACAGTACAATATATCCAGCTTTTCCGAAAAAAACGAATACATACATTTTGACAATGCTTAGGATAATCCTAACGCGTTTGCAAGATTTCATAGCCCTCGGTTTTGCAGTTTCAAAGCTAAAGTGGGATTTATAAACTTGATGTTGACGTTGAAGTTCCCGTTGCAGTTGCTATTCCCTCTGACGTTGCTTTTACAGCTGAAAATTGTCATTTATAAACTCCGTTGCCAAGTTGCCGTTGAGAGTAACTTTGATGTTCAACTTTTACCATATTTAATGGGGTTGTAGAAGAAAAGTGGAGGATTTAAGTAGATTACTACAAAAATTTACCATTTTAGACGTGTTTTAAGTTTCTTGTTGCCGAAATAAATCTACACATAATAAGTAAAAAAGGCAAAATGTATCCCCGCCCACCCGCCCTATCTCAATTGTGATGATTTTTTTTAACCGTCATGAGCCAAGCAAGCCGAACTGCAAAATCCTTATTTCTCTACGAGAAATTACAAACATGTTTTGAGTATCGTGTTGTTCAAAGAATACAATGTATATTAATAAAAATAAAGCCAAAGATTAGGCCCCACCCATACCCACCCCGATCTCAATTCTCAATTGTGATGAATTTTTCATTCGCTGTCACATCGATCAAGATCCATATTTGTCTAGAAGAATTTAGCATTTTAAACATATTTTAAGTTTATTGTTCTGAAAAGACCACTACGTATGTAAACAAAACATGCAAAATATAAGCCCCGCCCACCCGCCCTATCTCAATTGCGAACGTGTTTCTAAGAAGAAAAAAATCATCACAATTGAGATGGGGTGGGTGGGCGGGGTTTATGTTTTGCCTTTTTTTCCTTAATGTACATAGTATTCTTTGAACACGATACTCAAAAACCATGTTTTTAATTTCTTGCAATGAAATAGTATTTTGCTGTTAAGCTCCGCCCCCTTGGTTCACGGTGAACAAAAAAAATCATCACAATTGAGATAGGGCGGGTGGGCGGTCTTACATTGTGCCTTTTTGTTTTAATATGTGTAGATTTCTTTTCACAACATGAAACTTAAAATATATTTAAGATGGAAAATTTGTATAAGGAAATATCGACTTTGCCCAATAATTGCAAAATCCATATTTCCTTGCAAAAATGTACCATTTTACCCATGTTTTAAGTTTCTAGTTGTGAAAAGATGGCTACGTATATTAAGAAAAAAAGGGCAAAATATAAGTATTTTATAGTATTTCGTTTGGATATGTAAAAAGATAAAGTAATTTCTCAACCAACTATAAAAAGTATTTTCAGCTCAATATATACATATCTAACGACTAATAAATACGTGTGCAAATCTGTCTTCGAAAGTATGAATTATGCCTCCCGTACTTATTTATTTTTAAATGATCAACACTCACGTAAACTGTTAGAACAGGCAGTACCTGTTTATGGTCTTAATCTTTAAAATCATATGCAAATCTTTCTGACCGCAGTGCACAACTAACCTTACCGTTCAGGTGGTTTGCACGCAACTGTTCTGTGCGATTAGGACCACCTGCAAATTTTTTTGACCATGCCACTTGATCTAGCAATTACAAAATATGAACTAAAATTTGCCTTTTTATCCATTCCAGAAATTTGATGACATCATCTCAGAAAAATAAATATTTTTGAGAACTAAATATTTACAAAAAATATCTGCGGTTTAATTATTATATGTTCACTTTTTTAACTCGCGCATACAGCGTATCATAAAAAAATGTGGTCTAAAGTTGTTTGGACAGAACTTCCCTTGCCCCTGAAGGACAATCAATAGAGCTCAATTTTTCTTCCCGAGTGTAGCTAAGGAAATATAATGGAGTCCATCGAGCGACTGTCTACTTTTATGTTTTCTCGACGTTTTAAAACCCCTAGAGTACAAAAAAATAGTTTTCCGTCTCCATCCGTCTGTCGGTCTGTCATCTGCGTCAATTTTTATTAGACAGAGAATCTTGTAACCGATTGCTGTCAAATTTTATATGTACGTTAAGATTATCGTGTAGATGGTAAAACGCTTACCAAAATTTGACTAATAATCCGCATCACCAATGGGATGACGTCAAAATTTACAATGATAAATGTTGTTTAAATTTTATATAAAAGAGTTTTTATCCTAGATGTCCAGATTAAAAAAAAAAAAAAATCAAAATTGTGTAACAACATTTTGCTATTTAATTTTGAAACTGCAAAACCGATAACTCTACAGTCTTGGAAACGTTTTAAGATATTCATAAGCAATCGTTAATCAAAATTTATGTATAAGTTGTGATAGGTGCGGTGTAATACTAATAACAACAGCATTCTTTATTTTTTAGGACACCCTGTATAAACAATTCTAAAAGATAAACGACATGTACACAAGTATGTTTTTAGGCACATTTCAAATGAAATTAACTTTGCGAATATTTGAGATGATGTCATCAATTTTTTTAAGAGATGGGTAAATAGGTTTTTATTAAAGATTTACCATGATCACGATACCCTTAAAGCGTACACAAATTTTCAGCGTAATTGATTTTTTTTTTTTAATTTACCTATAGGGGCTGTGTTAAAAGTAAACTGGATTAATAAATCACAGTTATATACATACTTATATAGATTTACTTGGCAATTGAGATAACTAACATCGAAGTTTTGATGGGGACGAAGAAATTTTGGTTAGCGTTATAGTCTAAATACAATTGTTTGAATACATCAAAGATTTAACCGTATATCCGGTAATTTCAGAAATTACTAATTTAATTAAATCGCCAACAGACAACCAGACAAACGGAAACGGGAAATCTACATTTTATCTTTTTGAAATCATGAAACGTCGACAAAAGATGAAATTGGCGATTCAACTAACTTACGGTCGGGAAGTAAAAATAACAGTTGTACAATGAATTTATCAATAGACTTAAACCAACATAATGAACTTTTTAATAAATAACGAAATAAATATTTATTAAAAAAATCACTAAATCGCAAATTGATTGTGCTTTAGAGGCGAGTGAAATTCTATTTAAACTACTCTAAACCACATTTTTCCGTTCTTAACAAAAACATGCCTCTTCTTACAACGTATTTGAAATTGTGTTTTGAAAAATTAACGAATTAAAAAAATCATGTGTAATCTCCGTGTTATTTTTATCTCTAACGTCCTTGTAATCCCGAAGAAACTGTGGCGGCGATAATTAACCAAGCCCATTTTGATAAGGGCGTGCATCCGCTTCTCGTTTATTATAAGAACACACCCTACCTACGACAGTAATAATCAATCACTTAACGGACCGGATGAAATAACACTCGATTAAATTAAATGGTTCGATAATAATGGATTGATCTGTCAACATTAGGTCTACGGTTTTCGTGATAATGATTTTTGTTTCAGTATAGTGGAATTCGCATCGGCCCTGTGGTCAAGAAGGATGTGATGAAAGCATCTATCATGTTGGAGCACGAAAGCCAGTAAGTTTTTATTGTGGTTCTTTTGGATAATTACCATTTGTGAGATTGCATGTCATCCCGATGGCTCTTTCTAACAGCCAATTTAGTGCTTGTTCTTGGAACTGTGCGTCGATCATTTTTCGAAAATGACCGGGTCGAAACGCACAACACGACTACTGTATTAGCTTTTCTCACATAACCGTCTGTTTTCAATCCTAAGCAAATAAGATAAGAATAAAATCCGAGTTCTATGTTTGTATGTTTATTTACGTATGTCTAAAGTGACATCTTCTGCAGCGTATGTACCAAAACAATATTATTACAGATATGCTACTATTTTGGCGTTCGATGTCAGGGTTGAGAGGGATGCTCAAGAGCTGGCTGACACCTTGGGTGTTAAAATTTTCCAAGCGGACATCATTTACCATCTCTTCGACAAGTTCATGGCCTATAGGGAAGAATTGAAGCAAAAGAAACGCGAAGAATTCAAACACATCGCCGTTTTCCCTTGCAAATTGAAGATCTTACCACAGTTCGTTTTCAACTCGCGTGACCCTATTGTCGTGGGCGTCATGGTAGAGGCGGGAATCGTTAAAGAAGGAACTCCCATATGTGTCCCCAGCAAAGAGGTGAGTTCACACCCCCAAACCTACCAACTTTTTTAGTATTTACCACTCCCTACCTCAACTTTCACTAACTCCAAAAGGTGTGATCCAAAGTCATTACATTATCCCTGTTTTCAAAATATTTCTAGACTTTTGTGAATATCCAGAAATTTACGTTATTAACTGATTTAACTAATTTTAAACAGTTTCCGTGGATTCTGTGATCATTCTTAAAAGTATGTTGAGCAACAACAACAAATGTTTAGGGATTATGGGAACCCGCAGTGAGGAGACGAAGCAGTCTAATACCCCTCGCCGCTGGGTACCGACAATACGTTTACGCGCGATAGTAACTTTCGACAATTACTTTGTATATTTTTCTTAACAAAGAAGAAACATAAAAGAATTTATGTAAAAAAAAAATATTATTGCCAACGGAAGAGCATTGAATTTTATTCACATTCTTAAAAAAACAAATTTAAAAAAACAAATGAAAATGAAGAAAAAAAAGAGACATGTATTAAATATACCCGTTAAATACGAGGGTTTCAGGAGTTTCAAACCAAGTCTAGTAACTGTCAAGATACGACTGATTTTGGCAAATGATCATCCTCTAAGAGAATAGAGGGCGGGTGGGCGGGACTAGTACCTACTAAGATAAGAGTGATTTTGGCAAATGAGATACCCTCTAAGAAAAGAACTTGAAATTACCCCCTTAGATGATATGTTATTAGATTACGTTATTTTAATTTTTATACATTTCATTCCGAAGTTTCCTCCTGTGTCGTTTTAAATTGTTAGTTGTTTCGATTACTTAGTGGATCAGGATGATTTGTTAATGAAATATATGGTCGTATCCGAATTGCGGTTGGTTCTTGAACTGTAGGGGTTCAGACTAGAAACATCATTTAGTGCTTTAAATTTAAATTTTGACGAAAACCAAATACTTTTTACACTTAAAAAAGAAAGTGAATTTTTAACATAAAAACGAAAAATTATATACTGAAAAATATCCGGTTTATAGATAGAATCTAAAATGATCCAATCTAAAGTAATGATTTTTGGATATAATTTTGTGATTTGTGATTTCATGCATAACAGGATCGAAAAGTAATCAAAGTCGATTTACTGATAATAAATGTACTTACTAAAGTTGTTTATTAAATTTTTATTAAGTTTTTGATTCATAATTTTGGGTATTAAGGGTGGCGTCTGGTTCGGTTTCGCCCAATACTAAATACATCTAAGTAAACTTGCATTCTGCTACCGCATCACAGCTCGTTTAATGCCGATTTCTCGTTTCAATAGATTTTGACTTTTCGCGAGTTATTTACCTCAGTCGTGGATTTTTTAACATTATAAATGGTATCAAAAGAAAGCTGACACTTTTCCCCAGGGGACCTCCTATCTCAGAATGCAAAAAACTTCAGCACTTCGTCAAAAAATGCATCAATGTGCCGGTTAAAAGGTGATGTAAAAGTTGTTCAACTTTATAATTTTTTTTTTTTTTTTTGTAAAAACTGCATATTAAATATGAATATAAATATGGAGGTCCCCTGGACTGAAGTTTGTTAATTCGAAATATAATTTTTTTAAAGCGATATATCTCATATTTTTAAAATGCAACTCCGGAAACCGCGACGATGTTTTCAATGTATTTAGTATAGGGCTAAACCGAACCAGACGCCAGCCTTAAATAACTGTGTCCACCGCTTAACCCCTAACCGCAGTTCGATCAGGTAGTTACAAAATTTTGGACCGCAGTTCGATTGCGGATTAAAAATGCACCGTAATTCGGACAGGCCCAAATTTACTACTTCCGATCTAAAGTCTACCCGTAATAAATTTATTAAATAAAGATTTATTATTGTTAAAAACATCAGTTACTGTATGCTTTAAAATATTTAAAGTTCTCGTTTCCAATTCTAAATTTTCTCAAAGTCAAGCCAGTAAATTTTGATCCTTGTCCATTTTATCTTTTCTAAGTGTTTAAGGATTATGGAAATCCACAATGTGGAGACGGAGTAGTCTAATACCCTCGCTTCTGTGTACCCACAATACTTTTGGTGCGACAATTGCTTCATAGATTTTTCTTTATAAAGAAGAAAAATAGAAGAATTTCTGCCAATAAAAAGTATATTTACCTATCAACGGAAAATCATTGAATTTTATTCACATTCTTTAAAAAAAAAAAGCAAATTGCAGTTAGAACTACACATGTTACCAAGACAAAAATATTAAATATCTGTTTATTTTTGTCTTAATAGAAACCTAAAAATAATAATAATCAATATTGTATCTATCTAGTCTACTTTAGTAACGAGTTTGATCGCGCGATTTACACTAGTAGACCGTTTTTGGAGTTGCTCCATTTAATAAAATTTGCCTTTTTTATTGAATACAGAAATTTACTTCACTGATTTGTCCTTTTTTACATAATTCGGTACACAGAGCAACAATTTGTATAAGTTAATATTCAAATAAATTAAATAAATAAATAAAGATTTATTTTCCAAACAGAATAATTCTATTTACAAGACAAAAACGAAATATATAAATTGAGTAGCTACTCTTGCAAAATATAAATAAGAAATGTATGGTAACCTAAATTTTATTCTAATATTTCAAAAGAATTTGAAAAATGATTATTCTGCGTTGAAGGTCTATTGTCGGCATGTTATAATACTCTTCAATATCAACTTACCAAGATTTTATAACCCGTAATTTTTTTACTCATGTCAGCTCAGGTAGATTTTCGTAACAATTGCTGGTTGCATTTACAGCAACAAATGAAAAGAAATCGCAAAAATTGTCCATAGATTCGTTAGTTTTGAGAAAATCTTCTACATTTTGCTTTAATTTTTCCTGTTCCCCAGCTTTTTATTATTTCTTTTACCATGTGCCTTCTGGTGCAACCTACCACGTATCCAAACAACATAACCCCAGTGCACAATAGATAATAAATGTGTTCTTTTCCAGTTCGTAGATTTGGGCGTGGTTACCAGCATCGAAGTGAACCACAAAAACGTGGAGAACGCCCGAAAAGGCCAGGAGGTCTGCATAAAAATCGAGCCAGTTCCCGGTGAGGCTCCCAAGATGGTCGGGAGACACTTTGAGGTTACGGACATGCTCGTCAGTAAGGTGAGTTCATTGTTTCGTTCCGTTCAATGCGAGTTTCGTGGGAATTTCCGGGCGCCATTGAGACTTTTGTTTTGAATTCATCCCCTCTATTCATTGATCAACCCTATTGCGATGACGACGATGCAGCAAGCTGCGGGGCATTCACCCGGATCAATAATGCACCGCGACGCCCCTGTTTGTCCTTCCTGGCCCAGCGACCTGTTTATCTCAATTACAACCATGAAGCACAGAACTGCGTCTGGCCATTGGTGGAAGCACTCGCCATTGTTTCTACCACTTGAAAAATTCTTTTGTTTATTTTCAGTCGTGACCATTGAGGAACGTCATGTGATTCATGTGTCATGGCCAGTAAATCTCTTTAACTCTTTCCTCGGCAATGTCTGCTGGGTTTTGCTCTTCGAGCAGAGTGGTCGAGGGAAATATTGCAGTGGGGTCATGGTTTTTGACGTTCTTTGACTTTTCACGAATAAATAAGATTGTTGCAAAGGTGGTAAATATCAATCAAAATTTGAAAACGGTTTACCGAGTTAGAGTATCAAATTTTACACTTTATCTCATTAAATGTGTAAGTTTGATAAAACATCAATTTTGATTTGAGGATTGAGATTAGACAGAACTTTAATTAATTCGTTTTATTACCTCTCGAAATTTAATGACGTCATCTCAAAAAAAATTGTAACTCTTGTGGTTACAGTTTTACATATATTTAAAAAATCACGTCAGCATAAAAATGCGTTTTCTCAGTTGCCGCAATGTCTTTTTTTTTGTGTAGACGACTGAAATAGTTTTCCTCGAGAGATTTAAATGTTTTAGTCCCATGGAACTGAACTTTTATTACAGTTATATATATCTCTAAAATCTGATGAGATTGAAGTTCCGATATGTATTTTCCGGTTGGGCTCAAGCGTGTTTTAGAGTGCCATTTCGACTTTTCGCAGTTTTGTTCCTGAGATTATTTTGAAGTTTTGGTTGGAAGTGGAAATTTCATGAATGAAATTTCCCTAAACCTGTCTCGTCATCTTCATAAACCTAATTTAATTAAGTAACACTGTGGCTAATAAATCAACACTACCTAACACTGTGTTATCAATTTCTGTTCTCTTGCATCGATTCATCTACATAGAGTTTTCGGCCGTTCATCTACCATGTTTTTTCCGTGTTAACAGTTCTATCTATGCTGAAGGATTTTTGTGTTAGGATCTTGTAAAACTGACTTTCCTAACAACTTTATAATATTTGTAAAATTCCCAGTTTTCTTCAATGGCAACGAATTTCCGTCGTACGTTATTTTTCGTTTCAGTAATTTTCAATGGTGAAAATTTAATGGTAATGGGCATAATCCTACTATTCAAAATATTGGAATAGTCTACGTACATCAATGTACAATTATACAACCAAATAAGTACATTGAGCTAAACTATTTTGGGACTTACGTAGGCTTACTTTTGTAATAAGGTTATTTAGGAAAATTTTCTCTAATGAATTTGTACTCATGTAGAGCGATAATTTTTCAATTTTGTTTCAAAAATGAAATTAATTTTGCAGTTTTGAAAGAATGACAGTTTTCGTAGTAAAATTTGACGAAAGATATAGTGTGTGTCGACTATCAATTCATAAGCATCTTACAACAGTTCCCTCGTAAAATTCAATAATTACAAACTCGTTACACACACAGTTAGGAAGTCCACGTGCCGTATTGAAATAATTTTTCCTGGTTATTCTTACAACAGGAGAAGGTTTTCCAGGCAAACGGATTTACTGCTTCTACTGTGACAAACTCGTAAAAAGGATCTTAAGTTGATTAGCAATTAACCAATAACTGCACTATATCTTTCGTCAAACTCTAGTTCCTTTTATATTGTACAGCGGTTGTAGAAAAAAATATAAAGACACCCGGGGGAAAGTCATTTTTACGATTATATGTAATAGTTTTCATTGGCTCCGTTTTTAGAGACGTTCGTTGATGTTGATTAATTACATCTTGTGCTAAAATAATTTACTGTTACACATTATGTAATAAATAATATTATTTTAATTATGTACGATACAAGTTTTACACGGTTTAACGAGTTAAGTGTGACAAAATGCCTTATAAACGCGCCTCTTTCAACAAAACAAAGCAGTTTCGAAATCTAGGAATTTGCATTATATAAAAATGGTAGCTAAAAATTAATTTGAATTGTCATTGCCAGAAATACAACTTTTAGCTACGAATCATGAACAATTTTCTCCCTCCATAATCATGCCAAATTTATGAAAAAATATATACAGGGTTAGTGTAAAGTCCCGGAGCAATTGAATAACTTTGTTATTTGAAAAGATTTTTTTTAGAAATTTTGTGTGGATATATAAATAAACATGGTGACTTGATTACAATATTTTTCCTCCTTTTAGCACTTTCAGTTTGACACACAAGGCCGTCTACTTTTTTTTATTTATTTCTTGTGATACAAAAAAATTGAAAAAAATTCAGAAACAAAAAACACCTAATATTGTAAAATCACGTCATCTTTGAAAATACTAATACATAATAAATTGAGTGGAACTACAATAAATGTTCAACGATTCTCCGTTTACAATCTGATAGTGATGCAATCGATCAACAAAATGTCTCAGTGAATTATTATGTGTGATTTTACATTAGGTGTTTTTTGTGATATTTTTTTTTTATTAGTTTTTGTTTCAGTAGAAATAGACATGTTGATAATTTCTGAAAGTAGTTTTGTATTCTGCTTCAGAAAATGTCAAAAAAATCTGGGTGTTCCATTAAAAAAAAAAAAGTAGGCGGCCCTGTGTGGCAAACCGAGAGCCATAAAAAAAGGAAAAATGTTGTAATCAAGTCACCATGTTTAATTATATATCCAAAGCAAATTTCGGGAAAAAAGCATTTCAAATAACAAGTAAAATAAAAATTCGACCGTTCCGAGACTTCATACTAACCCTGTAGGTATATATTAACAGTAATAGTATTACAATCCCAAAATTTCGAGAAAATGAATTGAGTGGTTTCTAATGTAATCAATAAAATAAATTGACTCATTTATTAACTTTTTAGCCACCGTGTATAAGCAATTCTAAATTTTTTATATTTTAATTAAAAATACTTCCGCCAAGTTTAAAACGTCTGCAGGATTTTAGAACATTCGGTTTTGCTATTTCAAAATTAAATTGCAAAATGTTTTTACTATACAATTTTGATGTTTTGTCCAAAAATCTGGACGTCTCAGGTAAAAACTCAGCACGGATTTATAAACTACACGTGTAGGAGCTTGTTTTTTATAAATTTTAAAACACATTTACTATGTACAATTTTGAGGTGACGTCATATCATCGTTGGTTAGCGTTTTGCCATATACACGATATCCAAATTTGACACACAGACAGGCAGTCGGAAATGGGAGACCTTTTTTTTTCGTACTTTTGGGGTAATGAAACGTCAAGAAAACATGAAAGTGGCAGATCGCCCAATAGACTCGATTACGATACTTCCTTATAGCTTCTTACGCTCCAGTAATAAAAATGTCGAATTTGAACATTAGCGGGTCGCCAGAAAAATAAATTACACTGTTTTTAATGTAATTATTACAACACGGGATTTGTTTCTTACGATACGCTTTTGCAATTTTAAAATACCAAAAATAACAAGTTCATGGTGGCCAATTAACGTTCCTTCAATTTTTCTTGTACGTGTTGTATGAATTGTGAAGCCTTTTAAAACATTTTGTTAAATATACATTTTTAAAATGGCATTGAGAAGAAAAACAAAATCATTTGAAAAAAGTTTGTCACTTGCGGAAAAACTAGAAGTATATCCCAACTACCCGTTCAAAATTCAAACTTCTACACTTGAAACTACTAAGAAATTGAAGTGAAACATAAAGTGATCAACTTTCCGAGAGACACAAAAGGGACGGGAGAACCCCGCGGCCCACCAAAACACAAAAGAAAATTCTTGAAATGAAATATTAACTATTTCATTTAAAAATAATATACAGGGTGTTTCAACTAAAGCTCTGCGGCCTAATATCTTGAAAACAGATACATGTATTGAAATTCTACGAACACCATGTTTTTTAGCTTGAAGGGAGAAGCTTAATTTAGCACATTGCAACTATAACGTATACATGTGGCGATGCAAAACTATATTTTTTTAAATAGCAACGTATATATTTTTCACATTCTGACAGATTATTAAATTATGATTGGAATAATACACAACACTTACATATTTATTTCATTCTCAGTTGATGAAAAAAATTATATACATAAAAAGTGGAAGTGGTGTGAAATAAACAGCTACCACTATTTTATGACAGCTCGAACATATTGTTAGGAAATTAACTCATACGTTGCCCCGGTACGACCCTTGTAGTTTTTCTAGTATGTGCTGCGATGATGGGTGACTCATCGTCGGCGACGGCGACTGGGCAGCGTTCGCTAAAGAAAAGCCTGGAAGCGGAAGTCGCGATGGGTGCTCTAGAATAAGCCTAGAAGCGGTGACAGGACTGTTCGAAAAGGACCGCTCTTTAAATCGGAACCACCGTCGGGAGCAGTCAGTGAAATCCAGACAATGAAAGAAATAGAGTCTAGACAAATCCATTCGAGTCGCAATTATTCTGTACATAATCGGTGTGTAATTAGTCGTGTAAATTTATTGAGTTACTAAGAACTAAATTGCTGCGTTTTACCCGCGCCGATTTTTGAATCACCGATCATCGTACCAATATATTCAAATAACTACTTGAAACATATCTTGCTGATTATAAAATAAAGTGCAAGTAATTTATTTCACACAATTTTTTTTTTTTATCGACTGAAAATGAAATAAATATCTATAAGTATTATATATCATTGTAATGGTAATTTAGCGATCCCTCAAAATCCGTTAAAAAAATATACTTTCCAAGTAAAAAATATATAGATTTACGTCGCGACGCCGACGCCATGTATATGCGTCATATTTACAGTGTACTAAATTAAGCTTCCCCCTTGAAGCTCAA